GCGAATATTTTGCATACTAACTATTCATGTGCAAATTTGCGACTGTTGCAACACTTGTGAAATGTAAGGTCCCGATGCGACCAGCTACCAGCATCCTATTGACCCAGAGCAGCGTCCGACAGTCTGAGCTAAACTGTTGTTGTATAGCCTGAACTACTGTCAGCTATCTGGTGAACAGTTACTCAGTGTATATGTCTAGGGCTTTTATTGTGAAAGGTAAGAACGGAAGGAGTGGACCTGGTCCTCTTGAAAGGAGTAATAAAGTTCTACTGTGTTCTTAGTTCTGACTACTTAGCCTCCGTGTTGAATTGTGTTTGAACATGTTTGTTCCGCACGATGTGATTGGTTGAAGCCTTTATTCGCAGTTTGAAAGCTCCGCCCTCTTTCCGTAAAATAATTGCGTCACTTTTTTCGCTGCGCAATATTTTAAACACGGTGTGTTTTGAAAGTACTTATCACAAAAACAAAAGTTTGCAAAAATATATTTATGTGCAAACGAATCGCAATAAAAAAACTCAAAATGAATGGGTGAATGAAGACATGTAGTGTTAAAGCCTTTGAGTGGTCGGAGGACTAGAAAAGGTACAAGTCCATTTACCATTTTACCTTTACTGATATAGTGGAGCACAGCCCAGTTTCTCTTTGTTCTGTGCTTCCTGCCGTCTTTCCCAGCATGGTGTCAGACAGAGCTTTTGGATGCGGGCCAAGCCTAAGTGCTGTTGACTCGGGTCACTGAATCAATTCACATCTTTTAAGACCCTCCTTTTGATGAGAGTGGAAAACGACTGAGAAGGCCACCTCGAGAGTCGGTGGGTCCAGTTGGCGTTGTGACGTTAACATTTACAAATGCGAGATGCCACAATATTTCAGTTCCACGTGTTAGTTAGATAATAAGACGTGTGGTTAAAAAAAAAGAAGAAGCTGGGTCTAATAGGAAAACGAGGGCTCAAATGAATGGCGGGCCCTGTTTATCTGCTCTTTAGTCTCCAACCCGGCCCTGTTGGCTGCTGCCTGTGTTCTGTCATTTGCACGTAAGCTCTATTAGAGCAGACAGTAACACAATTACACCCACAGGCAGCGGAAGACGAGGGAGACGAGAGACCATGTCAGCAATTACACTCGCAGATATTGACTGCCCGTGGACGCGGCTTAATTCAATACTGTTTCAATTGAGCCCGTGCACGAAGGAAAATCATCAAGACGGTAATGAGACGAGAGGATTTGGATAATCATGGAAGATTGAGAGCTGGATGTAGACGTGGTTAGCCCACGTTCCCCAGAGACACGGAACACCATTCTCTCTGTTTCATTACATGCCATTGTAAGAGATCCCAGAATGTTCTCTAGCAGAGGTCGGATTGGCTCACGGCCTTTGGATTTGGACAAGCTGCTGCTCATCTTTGATTTGCTGGGTAGCTTTTTATGGGTTAATGAGGCGTTCATTAAATGCTGAGATCATTCAATAGTAGCCATTCTGTTGAGCTGCTAACACGCAGCTCACTTGCAGTCGTAGAGTTACATTACAGAGTGCAACTTACCCTTGCATAACGGTTCATTATATCTTACAGTTATTTTGTTATTTTTTCATGCAAAAATGTCCCGTACGAATGTCGACAACTCTACTTGGTTAGGTTTAGGAAAAGATCGCGGTTTGGGTTGAAAGAACTACAGAAGTTACGTGGTCAGCATTGACTTGACTGGTCTGACACGGGACAGTAACAGCGGTCTCCTGGGTGAAAGTCTAATGTTTTTAGACCCACCCATCCAACGCAGACACACAGCGTCACCTGTCCCAGCTCACGATTACATAGATTACATACAAATACTTTATGTGTGTTAAATAGGAAATAGCTATGTTAGCTATGTTAGCTAGTAGTAAATAAGAAGAAATAATAAGGAACGATAAGAGATTCTTTAGTATCTGAGCCTAAAGAATCCCGAACCTGATCCAAAATGGAACCATCTACTCAAACCCAACCTCGTATGAGATAAATCCTCAAACTGGAGGACCTGAATGGATTTAAAAAACAATTGTGATTATAATAATTGTTGACGATGACTTTGTGATTATTAAGTGAATGGTTTCAGCACTAGATGTTTCTGCATGTAAAACAAGATGAAACTGACAGAAGATGGTTAAATATGTGACGGATTTAGTCTATTTTTTTGTTGTTGTCAGAAACATTGAGCGTTGATTCTCGCCAAACAAATTGTGCACTGCTTCAAATATCAAGGCTACGCTGACGCTACTGGTTTCCAGTAACTCTGGTCATGTGTCAGAACTCACTCTTTATTGGCCAAGTCCCACACAAGTCCCACACAAGTCCCACACAAGTCTCCTTTACTGTTCTCGGATGACTAGGCGGTCATGTTCGCATATCCGTGCATGCACACGTTTGTTCGGTGATTTCAAGGTTCAACTGGTCTTCTATGCGATTAGAATATTCTGCATCGTGTCTCTGCTCTTCTGTGTCTTATGTTGTGCAATTTACCGGCAGGATCCAAAGGTCTTAATGAAAAAATAACAACAACAACAGACAACTGTTGGAGTTGTTTTGACTCAGAAGTGGCAATCGCTGCTTCCTCCTCTTGTGTAAAAGTAGCTAATGCCGGTGCCAACAGCGGTGCTAAGTGGGGTCAGTGTTTGTGAGCGCGTTGGTATTCAGAATCGGTCGTCAGCCTGGCCCTAGACCAGATTATGCTCCTTTTATCTCCGTCTGTCTGTCTGTTCAGAGAGTTAACACTTGGTTGAATACTAATTCTGCTCAAATCTGGTGTGTGTGTGTGTGTGTGTGTGTGTGTGTGTGTGAGTGTGTGAGTGTGTGAGTGAGTGAGTGAGTGAGTGAGTGAGTGAGAGAAGAGGGAGAAGGAGCACCATGTTGGTCCATCTGGTCCTGCTCAGGTTTTGCAGAAAAGACGGCTCATTAGCATCAGTTGTCCCATCAGGCAAATGAAAAATAAATGTAATGCTTATTAGGGGCCCATATTCAGTAAAGATCTGCGATTGGGAGGTCGGCATTATTGCTTCCTGGTTGCCGATCCCTAATAATACTACTCACTACATTATGAACAAAAAATCTGTTTAAATTGGCAAGAGGAGAAGTCACGTTAGCTGTCAGCTGGGAGCTTGGAGCTAACGGAGCTCCAGCATCGCGACATTTAAAAACAACTAATCAGACACGTAGACCTGTTATGTTGTAGGTCATTCTCATGCATGCTGCTCACGTCTCTCCCGAGCACTGTCCTGCTTATAACGGAGCTAAAAGTTAATGTGCGGAGGTTCCATATCAGTTACATTTTCAAAATAAATTCCCAATGTAGGTTTTGTTAGTTTTTAGGTTTACTTGCGCAACAAAACTACCGAGTTAGGTTTAGGGAAAGATTGTGGATTAGGTTGAAATATAAGTTTGTTTGTTTCGTAAAATAACTTTGTTTATTACGTAGCTGGTGTTAGTAAAGTACGCAAGTTACGCTACAAAAGTATCATAAAATAAGTAAATGTGGACTTGGTTTCACACGGGACACCAACAACGGTCTCCTGGGGGGTTAAAGTCCCGTGTTTGATTGAGTCAACCATCCACCCTAACCTCCTCCTTAAGTGGACTTTATCGCTCTTTAAACCTGGTGTGTTGCTCTGACAGTCTAATAATGACATGGATGGGTTGACATTGGAGTTAGTTGAAAGCCCGGTTCGTCTCATCCAGACTCTAAAGCAGGTTTAGGCAAATTAAATTCAGCGAGGTCCATAATGTCTAACTTGCGTTATGATTTAGTCCCATATATATTGAAGTAGCCAACAGTTGTATCAACGTCTGTATGTAGTCAACAACTGACCAAATCCAAATATAGAAAGTTCAATTGAATAATATCTCACCAATATTTATTGTCACATTTCAAATTGAACTGGATGAATTATAAATAATACATAATCAAACAATAAATAAATGTTCTTCTCTCATATATAGTAAGATAAGGGCCGGATTATGAAATAAAATGCATAACGGAAAGCTTTTGAAAAATGTGACTCTTTAAATAAAGTATTTCATTTTAGAAAAATGAATGTAACAGCCTCTGCCCTGCAGCTTTAAATTCAGTTCATTCAGATGTGAACTGATGTCAATCAAAAAGTTGCGATGCTTATGGGAGTACACATATTTGATTGGCTGAGCAGTAATTGGTCGGTGTGTTTCCTGTACCGCTGAACGAGTGCCATAAAGGCTGAAAAGCTGCGCCGGTTAAAATAGAGGCGCTCCGTTAAAATTGAATAATTATCAATGACCCAATACTGTTATAGGTCCGGATACAATGGCGTCTGGGTCCGGACCGCGGTCCGCCTATTAGTGACCCCTGAGCTAAAGGGTTCCTCAGTGTGTCTGTATCAGACGGTGCTGACCAAGCGTCGGCATTTGATGACTTGGGAGTGGGAACAGGTCGGCTAGGACTGTGAAATAACTGGTTCTAATTTGACCTTTATGGGCATTCATGTTTCTTATTTTCTCGTGCAGAAAGCAGCTCAGTGACTAATAGCTTCATATAAACCCTGGTGTAGGATGAAAAGCTTCCTGTCTCCGTTGGTCTGTCTTCTTGCAAAACACCACCACCTGTTGTACCTCGTTCATTTTCATTGGTAAACTGACTGTGAGTCTAGTCTCTCATACTATGAGAACCCAGTCCATGCTGATATGAGGAGCCTCTCTTTATATTGGAAGAGGTGTGAGTACCCTTTTATCCATCAACAATGTCAGTATTTAAATACCTTACTTTGCTAAGTATGAACATACTCTTCTACAAAACCCTTTCTCTTCGTTATAACACATAATGGGTATGTTTATAATGCATTAGAGACATGGAAAGGGTTACCAAAGTTTACGTGATTTTCCTTCTAGTGTTTTTTGACTGTAGATCTGTGTCTGTTTATTGAGGAGTTCAATGTCCGTCACAATGAGGATGTCAGCCAAACATCTAACAGGAGACATCTGTGTGTGTGTCGCCCCCTACAGGCCCCACGTTGCCCAGACAGGGCCCCCAGGTTCAGAATGGCCCCACGCCAGAGGAGATGGAACTGCAGAGAAGGTAAGGACACTCGGACTGATAAAGACCCTAACATTTAAAACGACTGCAGGTTGTGAGGCACCATTGTTTCTTCCATATCTGTCCCTCCCTCTTCTTCCATGTCAGTGTCTCACACACACACACGTGTACTCAGACAAAGCCCCGCACACCCACAGTTGTTTTTCTTCCCCATACAAGGCCACTCTTTCCCTCAGGTAATAATGAGGCTCTGGAACAGCTAGAAAACGCACATAGTTGCATACACACACATACACACACACAGAACTGTATTAATGAAGGCCAGCTGTTGGGCCACACTTTAGACTCCTGTCCACCAGAACGCTTATTCGAGTATTTGATTAGAATGAATTACACACACGCAAACACAGACAGGGGGGGCACGTCATGGACGAAAAGGTCTAACTTTAGCATCAGGTAGACGAGCCAAACAATGACGGCAGCTGCTGCTCACCAGATTGTTATGTCACGAATGGCAACTGGACAACGTAACACTGTCATAACGTCAGTGTCCACCATATACAAACTAATAAAAGGCTCACTTGAGGCTTCAAGGATAATCATATCCTGTTCCCAATAGACGCAACACCTATTTAACATTGTGGAGGGGTGAATCATGGCAGCGGCTCTCAACTTTTTTGTAACTTAAGGCCACACTTCGGATTGTTTCTAGGACCACCTTCCAAAATAAATGAGGAAAAAACAACAACATGACAAGATAAGGAGAAACAATCAGCTGCTGTAAATAGGTGTTATGCTGTGTTCACACCTAACGTGAAGCGAGTTTTTTTGCGTTGTGTTACTCACGGGAGTTTGATCGCGGGATCATTTGTGTTTATTCACGTCATTCGCACTAGACGTGCCGGGCTCTCTCTCTCGCCGTCAGTCACACACACACATCCCTTTACTTCTATCTTTGTGAGGACCCTCATTGACATACTGCATTCCCTAGCCCCTTGCCCAAACCTAAACCTACTTCTAACCTGAACCTTAAAACCACGTCTTAACTCTTTAAGATGGCCTTTGAAGAAGTGAGGATCGGCCAAAATGTCTTCACTTTCCCAAGATGTCCTCACTCTGTTGGTGAAAACCTTGTTTCGGTCCTCACTATGCAGCAAGTACAAGAACACACACACAAGTAGTAAAGCATTCTTCAGGTGTGACTGAATGCTCCTTCTAATTCTCTTTGAGGTGAACTTGGATCTGCCAGGAATTTTACAGACTGTGTAGGTCTGAGAGAGACAGATGGATCTGGCTGCCAGCCCCCCCGCCCATGTTCTCCCTTTATTCTTCTCCTCTCCCTTTTTGCTGTCTCGCTTCATCCGTCTCTCTTTTTCTCCTCACCTCTCCCCCTCGGTTCCGGTCATGCTCCACGTTTAGCAGCGGATGACAGGCAGGCAGCGAGCGGTTCGGTGACCGAGGTCTTCTGCTGATACAGAGGCCGGTATCGGCCTGCTGTGAGGGAGCGCGGAGGATGGGATGAAAGGAGGGAGGAGGAGGAGGGGGCAGACCAGTGGAGAAATGAATTGGCAGCACACTTCTGCTTCTTGAAAAGGGAAAGCTAACATATGCTTTGGAAGATGCGGAAGGGTCTGTTTGGCCAACAAACACTGTCAGGTTGTTTCTGAGCAGCTGTTCCACATCTAATCAGTTCACAGCTGGGGAATAAGCATCTGCACACCAGCAGCTGTTATAAATGAGTCGTCAGTCCAGGCTTTGAATCATGAACCTTCTTCAGAGCACTTTAAGGACTTTCATTAGTTTCATGAATACCTTTCTAGCTTGGACCGACCTGTAAGTTATAGTCGTGGACCGTATAGAAGAAGTAGACGTAGTCTCCGTGACGTCACACATTGGTTTGTGGACTGCTGTTTTGAAGCCTTGGGTTCGGTGATTTGGCCGACGACATCTTGGGTTTTTTTGTAATCAGTGAACGTAAGTGACCATATTTGGACGGTGGAGGAGTGACGTAGAGACGCTGTATACGGCTCTGGTAGGGTCAATCACAGTAAGCCCGCCCTAAAGCATCCCCTGCTTTATGGTCTATTGGACTCTAAATGGACCATAATTTACTAAATGAACATCATGCTGTGTTGAAGAAGACTTGAAACTAGAGATTGAGACCATAAACTCATGTTTACAATGTTTACTGAGGTAATAAATCAAGAGAGAAGTAGAGTCATTTTCTCATAGACTTCTATACAACTAGAGGAGTCGCCCCCTGCTGGTTATTAGATAGAATGCAGGTTTGAGACGCTTCCGCATTGGCTTCACTCTTCAGAAGCGGAGGTTGCCGCCTGGTTATAGTATTAGCTATAATAAATACATTTTCTAGATTTTAACGTGAAAGAAAATTACTTTGTGCTTTTGTACACAATCTTGTGCTCTTGTTCTAGTAGTGGTGGAATGAAACTAAGTCCTTGTAGGCTACTCAAGTACATCTACCTAAAGCTACTACAAGGGACTTTCATTTTGTGTTGGTTGTGGCGCCCCCCTGTGGACGAAAGTGGTATTGTTTCAGAGCACCAAAGCCCCTTTAGAAAACCTCTTATTTTAATGCAGCAGGGTGTGCCGTAAGTATATTATTTGAAATGGGCCATTCTGCATAATGAGTATACTTTTTTTGGGCACTTATGAGTATATTTTGACACGGAAAGGCCGCCCACCAAATCCACACCAGGGCTTCACTGGGTTCCTCGTGCTGGAACACTATCTAAAATGAGCGTCGACACAGTCAGCCCATTGTAAAAAAGAATACGAAGCTCAATAGCACAACGGGGGGAAATACCCTAAGATGTTTGTCAAATTATTCATTCATGGGCTCACTCAATGCGTCAGCTAATGTTTTGGCTTTGTCTCACTTCTTTATTGCCAATCATGAGGAATGTGTGTCCCCCTAAACCATGAAGCCTGATATGGAGACAAAAGAAGAAGTGAGAGAACCGGAGATATGGATAACCGACGGAGACGTTCCCCCTCTCATTGTTCCTCTCCGCCTCATTAAATACAATGAGCTCACCTCATTCCACAGTGACCACACACATTCAGTCTCACACGTCATCAGCGTGGCCTCCTCTGTGAGGAGTAAACATGGGGATCACTCAGCTATGGAGAGGCTGGAACAATTCGAATGTCACATGACAGCAGGGGAAAAATACCACGCGCATTCTTCCCTCCCTTCTCACTGTCTCACCTGCCTTCCCTTCTCATCTAACTTCCCTCCTCCATCGCTCTCCTTGATCCTCCTTCTCATCCAGACAGAGATGGATGAAGAAGAGGTGGAGTGCGATGCTTCGGCGATGATCGATGGAGATATTCCCTGCATGTGCGAGAGTAGGAGGTCACAGAAGAGTGCGGAAAAAACCCACCTGTTCAGGAATGCAGGGTGCTACCCTCGGATTAAAAAGACACGAGCTGGAAATAATAGGCCGCGGTATAAATAGCTGTGCCGTGCGTGGGAGTGAGGGGAGTGTGTGTTGGGAGAGAGAGAGAGAGAGAAAGGGAGGGAATGTGTCGCACAGTCTTGAATGAAAGCGAGGATGGAGAGACTGTGAGGAGAGAGAGAGATCTATGTTAGCTGTTAGCACGTAGCTGCTGGTATTTAACCCTCAGAAAGAAGATGAAAACACCAGCAGCTGCTCTGCACATTGTCACAAGCGTGTGCTGACATCCACGTGTATTCCCAGTTGACAGTAACACACACAGAAACATCTCTAAAAACCAATATGTTAGCTTAGCCATTATAACGAAGTTGGGGTCTTATGTTAGCAGGACACAACATGACGTGTGTGTGTGTGTGTGTGTGTGTGTGTGTGTGTGTGTGTGTGTGTG